TTTAGATTTCTGTTTGAATCAACTTAAATTATAGCATATGCTGCAAGTATTGACTATGAGAAAGGTGATCAATTTTCCCTATTTTGTCTGGCATGGAGGAGTTTTTTGGACCTTGGGACTTTCAGTATTAAAACTGAGAAAGTCCTCAGTAAACCAGAAAGCTGATTGTCCTAAACATGTTGTCTTGAAGTAGAAATTATATAGGTAGGGAGAAAAGGATCTGTGCATTGATGTCTATACAATACTTAAGTAGTAGATGTTATGTGCACAATAACATATCAGGTTGCTGGCAACACAGAGATGAACAAAGCTAACCTCTGCCCTCCAGGAATTTAAAAGGCCTTGGGTGAGGAGGACAATCACATCACATGCACGAAATGTATATAAGCTGTGTTATATTTGTCAAAATATACATAATAACCGAGTACTATGTAGTATCCTAGAACCAAAAAATAATCTATTGATTGCAAAGATTTGCAAAGAAGCAAAAAAAGACAAACTTTAAAAAAATAAAATGTGAATTAACTAGAGTGAATGAAAGGAAGGGAATTCCAAAAACTGATGGAGGTTTTCCCTTAACAAATGGCAGTGTAAGAAGTTCCGGAGACACACTCCCCAGTAAAACAAGAGTTAATGGTGAAAACTATTTTTTTTTTAATATATCAAAAACAATCATTTACTGTTTCTGGAAAATTTCCTAAAGACACACAGCAAATATAGAACCATTTATTCAAGAAAGTATACTAAAACTAGATAAGCATAGAAAAAGACTTGACCCAGAACCCACTACCTCCCTCCCACTCCTGTCTCCCAGTTCAGACTGATAGAAATGCCCCTCTGGCAGGTTTGGTTAAGGGGACATGGCTACTCTCCCTTCAGCAAGCAATCAAGGGATATAATCTTACCAGATGAGGCAGGATGCCAACATGACATGAAATTAAAACATTTAATAATTATTACAAGGTTTTATTGGAGTTGTGACATATATAAATAAAATATGTACAACTCTCTATATAAACATATATATGTATATTTGTTATATATAATAATGGCACATAAGTATATAGAAATAGCTTTTTTATATTTTACTGGAATTCAGTTACTATAAATTTGAATCTGATAAGTCAAGAGGTAAGTGGTAATACCTAGAGCAGACACTAAGAAAATAACACAAATGATATAATAAAAAATCATTAAAGGAATTACTGTTGCGGAAAATATTCATTTAATGTAAAGAAAGTAGTAGGGGGAAAACAGAGGAACAAAAAAGATATAGGACATATAGAAAACAAAAAATAAAATGGCAAATGCAAATACAATTGTATAACTAGTAACAGGTAAACCTGCATGGATTAAAAAATCTGGTCAAAATACAGAGATTATCAAACTGGATGATAACTGATGAACATATGAATGCATGTCTCTGGCTTAATTACAGCAAACACAGCCAACTTGAGACCTAGAATCTCTATGAAAACCCATGTGCTATTTCAACACTTATAGCACATGACTATATTAGGCTGTCTAACCTCTTAGGACTTCTTTCATGTCTAATCAATCTTTTTTGTACAGATAACATACTTTGAGTCACTTCACAGTATGCCCTATGCATCCCACAGACAATCAAATGTTGCAGGATTTCTGCTATGCTGTTTGGGGAAGAACAGGAATACAGGCAGTCTGGAGCTTGGCTGGACAATTTCTGCCTGTCTGGGAGGAAGAGTTGTTGGCAGGTGGATGAGAAGTCAGTTTGCAAACAAAGGTTAACCTAATTCACCCCCGAAAAATATTTAGTACTTTCCTAGTAATAGGGTCTCCCACTGTCTACTTGCCCAGGGTCACAAGAGAGAAAAGCTTCCCTTCTGTCTATTTTGACTTTATTCTGAGGAGTGTGAAAATATTCATTTTCAAAATATGATTTTGCATCTTCCTAACCAAGTGGCTAAAATTAACATTATATTTATATTTGTCTGAAATCTGTGTTTATATATATTCCATTCTCTGTCCTATCTCCCATTCCATGAAAACATAACAAGTAAGTCTAACACCTTCACGTGAGCATCTTTATCAAATTAAAGGCAGCCAGCATGTTCTTGTGACTTTTCTTTACCCTGTGTATTAGTCTGTTTTGTTATAACAGAATACCTGAGACTGGCTAATTTATAAGAAGAAAAGGTTTGGGGGGTTCATGATTCTTTAGGCTAGAAAATCCACAACTGGGCAACTGCATTTGGCCAGGGTCTCAGGCTGCTGACACTCATGGCTAAAAACCAAAAGGGAGCTGGTCTGTGCAATACATGGTAAGAGAGCAAGCAAAGAAAAACAGAGGGAGAGGAGGTGCCAGCCTCTTTTTAACAACCTGTTCTCTTGGGAGCGAGAACTCACTCACCCCCTTTTCTGGCCCCAGAGAGGGCATTAATCTATTCATGAGGGATCCGTCATGTGACCCAGACACCTCCCACTAGGCCCCACCGCTTAACAATGCCACATTAGAGATCTAATTTCAACACGAATTTTGAAGAAACAAACATATCCAAACTATAACAGCCTGCACATATCTAGTTATCTTGACAACTCCTCGTAACTCATTGAATCAAATCTCTTTACAGCTCTGGTAGCTCTCTTTGTCTCTTGGTGAAATTTTGGAGTATAGGAAAAGCTTACAGTCTTGACCCCTTCAAACCACATGCTTTCAAAACAATTGACATTTAATCTCTACTATAATAATCCCTTTCCATAGCAGTCATCACTCATAGGACCAAGTCCTACCTCCTTAATATAATGTATAATACTTCCTTAACCTAAGTTACTTATTTTTTCTGTGTTATGGTGCCTCTCAGGTATTTTCTACAGTAGTTTCTAACAGCTTATAGTTTCCCCAGCACCTCCATAGTTTGCTCCTGCTGTTGCAGCTTCCTAAAATCCCTTTTGTTCTCCCCTCACTTTGCTTCAACCTTCTAGATCATTTCTTTATATCCTTCTAATGTCAGCCAAACATTTTCCTGAACCATTGTGTTTTATCCTAGCTGTCTTTTCTTGGTACCCCCATAGGGTCTTCTCTATCCTTCTATTGGGCATTAAAATTATCTGCTTGTGTCACCTCAACTAGATTCTTTCACAATGAACATCATACTTTACTTATCTTTATATGCCTCGACCCTAGTATAGTATCTAGTGTATAGCAAATATGTAATAAATTGTACAATTGAATACAGTTAGTATACACCAATTATTCCAGAATGCTTGTTAATGAGGGGATTCAGTGACAATTTTCTTAAATTAGGCATATGACAAGTGGAATTGAGGTGCTGAGAAGGAGTATTGTGAGAAAATGCTTTCCTGTTCAGAGAAGGAGAATATGCAATAGAGAGTTAAGCTCATTATACCCCTGTGCTCCCTGACTTTTAAATGTATCTTAACTTCATTTATAATTTTTGAGAGTGTTCCTATAAGATAGTATATTACATTGAAATCAGAAGCCATCAATGTCTTTTCACCCCTCCAGTCAACAGCAGAGATATCAAAAGCAGATTAACAGCACGATTCATACCCTGTTCTGATAACACTCATCTTTTGATTAAGAAATCAGTTACTAACAAATATCGACAAGTTAAGAATCATAAATCTCATTTGTAAAAACAAATTAGTATTGATCAAGCACTGAAATGGCATACAACCCGCTATCGTTTCAAATAACCAGCTCTTTAAAATACTAATGTGCTATTTTGAGATATACATCCCTTAGATGACTTTTCACCGTGAAAAAAGGGGTTCACTCTCTTTGGCCTGGGAATTTCGGTGGGCTGACTACAATAATGTCATCTGCTTTCAGCCACTGTTTGAAATGACTTCTCTTCAGTTCCCAGGTCAGAATAATGGTGGTAAATTTATTGTGCATCGTGCCTTAAGATCAGCAGATTCTTTTCCCATAAAATGTTCTATTTAAAATTGTAGGACTATATAATGATAATTATATAGGAAATATTGATGACCTGCTTCAGCTACCAGCTTGAAACTTTCAAGCTATGTGAACTTGAGCAAATTCCTTCGTGTCTCCGTGCTTTATTTGCCTCATACGTAAAATAGAGAGATTAACACTACCCATTTTTAGGACTTTTGCAGGGACTTAATTCATGAATATGTTTAAACATTGAGAACAATGTCTATCACATGGTAAACTTTAAAAATGTTAACTATTGCTATTACAATTGAAAATGTCTGTTTGATAACTAATTTTACTTGCATCACTCCATGTGTCTACCATTACTTAAAGGCTTAAATAAGTGCATTTCTGTTTTGTTATTCATTTTCTTGAGTTTTTTTAGTCCAGTTGCTTCATATAAGGCAACACTCATTACCATCAAATATATTAGTAAAAAAGATAAAGACACCAAGTTCATAATTCAGCTTTTTTGTTGTTGTTGTTTTACAAAGTTGTCCTAACACATAGTATAATAAAACAACCATGACCCTTTTAAATGTGTTTGAAAGGAAATACTTTCATACAACTATCAAACTGTCAGTTTAAAAAATCCCCTTTGTTTTCCATAATTGTATTTATTTTTCTATCCACAGAAACACTAACATTCTACCTCTTTTCTGACCGGGGTTCTTTGTAATTTGTTTCCAGATGCCTCCCCCACCCCTAACGCTTCCCACAGTCACCATTAAGGAATTTTTTACTGCTTGAAAAAGTTTTAATATTCAGCAGGTTAAAGAAACCCATGGTCAGCTTTAGAATTTTAGTCTCTGCTGAGCTTTCAAGGTGTCAAGACCTTAAAATAATATGAACAGTAGGAGTACTAAATCTTTCATTATTTCCAGTTTCCCCTTGAGCATACTGACTTTGCAATAAAGAAGCTGTCATTTACACTCTTCTTTATTGCAAGGTGGGAAATAGCTACAGGGAGAAAAATAAGGAGCTGTGTCAAGTGAGCCTAACTGCCCTTCTGATTAATGTGTAATCATCGCGCATTTGCATCTACTTTTTTCGTATCCAGGTACTTCATAGACTGGAAGAGTGACGGGGACAGCTACTTTACAATAGATGGAACTGAAGGAACCGTCGCCACTAATGAATTACTAGACAGAGAAAGCACCGCGCAGTATAATTTCTCCATAATTGCGAGTGAAGTTAGTAAGTATGGCACGGACAGAATCAATGTTATACCGCAGTTCTTGGATTTAACACTCTTCAACGAGGCCCTGCTGAGTGTTTTTCATTTTTAGACTGACAGCTGAGTGGTCTCCCAGGGAAACTCAGAAACCTGTTCCTTTCCCTCATAGCATAAGTCCAGAGAAATTGTGACAGCTGCCAATGCGCCCTGTTTGCAGGATTGCATGAGTATCTACTAGTGAATTCTATTGTGTGACCTCATTCATTTCCCTGCTGCACCCTCAACAATGCACCAGAGTCCCCCTTCTCTTCCACACAGGATCCTTGTATGCATTATCGGGAGTTTCAGAGGGCTAGGAAAGAGGGGATAATGATCATATTTGATAATTAATCTGACTCATTCTGAAATATTTTCTGAAATCAAAGAAAACATTTTTAAAATAGTCCCTCTTCCCTCTCCTTTCATTAGAAAGCATGTTTAATGAATATCACTTTGTAATATTCAGAAGTTTTAATTGCCATTCTCAAGAATCTATAAGATTGTTAGACATTATTGCTTGTATATGTTTCTATGATTTTTAGAAGAGAATCCTACAGACTGAGAGTGGTTATAGGTCTTATTTAGTCAATTGCACAATTAAGGGTATATCACAATTTCCTGAAGTCACAAATAAGGGCAGGATTGGTGATGTTCAGCTCTTGATATAGTTGTTTTTAACAGACATGCATCTTCCCAGTCCTTCTGCTTATGGTCTCTTGAAAGGTTTGGGAAAATCCCTTCTGAACATCTTTCGTTTTGTTTCCTTCTTATTCCATTTGGTGTATCTGGAGCAAATGTATAAACTCTTTGGCAGCTAATTTCACCTTTCAATGCAGGGAAGAGCTGTGAACATTTCTATCGAGGGGTTTTGGTCAATCTCAACTCAGGGCGGGATGAAACAGCTTTGTCTTTCTTCAACCACTGCTTCTAAATGTGAACTGTCAGACACCTTTTCCTGAACCTTAATAAGGTTGTACTCATTACTTTTAGGTGATTCTGATTATTAAAAGTAAGTCTAACATATAAGAACATGCAGCTTCTACCTTGTTTGTTGGAACACTTACTCTTAAGTTCCAGCCCGTCATCTTAGAGGTCTGACTACACTGAGGCTGCCCTGCTAGAGAACTCACATGTTGGTGCTAAGGTTAACAACCCAGCTCTGCACAGCATTCCAACCACATCTGCTAGTGTGCTGTGTATGCAAGTGTTACTGCCTTGGAACCACTAGACCAGGCCATTTCTAGTTGAATACCACAATGTAAACTCCATAAACGCCATGTGCAATAGAGTATAAACCCACCAAAACCTTGCCCGGATTTTTACCCACAAAATTGGGAGAAATATAAAAATGTGATTATTTCAAGCAGCTACATTTTGGGGTCATTTATTGTTACACATCAATTGACATCAGGAAAACTCAAAGAGCATGCATTTAAACTTTGATTCCTCGGGGTTGGGGTATAGATTTTCCAGTCTGTTGGTGAAGAAAAGAGAAAAGTGAAACAAAAATGCATAAATCTTTTCTATATGCCCCACATAGTGCTACATTGGTCGGCACTGCTTTGAGATCTGAAATAGAATGGAATGGCATTAAAGTCAGTTGTCCAAATGCTAACCCTCTTCTTTTGTGATTTTGTGAGTTCTTTGATATGGGGGGCCTTGGACATCCCACCTACGTAGGAATCTGATATGAGCACCCAGTGGTAGACCTTACAACTTCTTAATTTCAGGGTCTGCTTGCTAGCAGTCAGCCTTCCTGGGTGAATTAATAGCATGATTGCTCAATTACAGCTCCTTTCTGCTGAGTCCACTTGACCATGAGGAAATTACACATCCTTGCTAAACAGGTGCATGACAGGCAGCTCCCGTACTGCATGTTTTCTCTGTCTTGCCATCTTCTTTCAAATCTGCCCTCTTTGCTCGGTTAGGCTTAGAGAGAAGATCATCAAGTTAGCTGCCTAAGCAGACATAGAGAGAGCAGAATGCCAGTCTATTCACTTTAGAGGGATCCCTCCTTCCCCTTTCTAAGTGGTTTTCCTGAAATCTCCCTTCCTCTTGGCATCTTTCTTCCCTCCCATACCACATCCTGTTACAGTCACCTATGTTATTCTTTATTACTTTCATGCTAACCTTCAATTATTTCATTCATTCAGAATTTGGGGGCAGTTAACTATACTCTAGTTAAAAAATAAACTTCAGTTTTCTAAGATCTTTGGCAAATATGGTGAAAATAATTTGTCTAAGTTACGTACCTTCAATTATTTCATTCATTCAGAATTTGGGGGCAGTTAACTATACTCTAGTTAAAAAGTAAACTTCAGTTTTCTAAGATCTTTGGCAAATATGGTGAAAATAATTTGTCTAAGTTACGTAATAAAAGACCTCTGTGAACTGTGTTACACTCACTCCAATGGCTTAGTCATAATAAGTGACAACTGAGTAGAAACAGTCTTCAAATAACTTCTATTTATCACAGACATATAGTCCATAATAAAAAAAAAGTTATTGCTTGAATATAGTCCATAATATAAAAAGTTATTGCTTGAAAGCTCTCTAACCTAACTTAAACCTTCCTGCTATGACACACTCAAAACATGTACATATTTCTTTGATGTAGGGTAGCAAGCCCTCGTAACCCCAGATGAAACATATAGTCCATAATAAAAAAAAAGTTATTGCTTGAAAGCTCTCTAACCTAACTTAAACCTTCCTGCTATGACATACTCAAAACATGTACATATTTCTTTGATGTAGGGTAGCAAGCCCTCGTAACCCCAGATGAAAATCTGCTGATAGTTCATTGGTCACTTGTACTGTAGCTGTGGAAGGTATCTTCCTCCCCATTGGCTACCTAGGCTATCAAAGCCATCATCATGGTTTTGATATGGGAACATTAGTAAGAACAAAGTCTGGTGCCTCCTTTCAAAATCTTGAGATTCAACCATGGAAAATGGAAGGACATATGAATATGTAATGCTTCTATTACAGTGGAAGCAAATATCATTGATCCTTGAAAGCTTAGATTTTGTAAACTTAAGGAACCCTAATTTGTCAGCTTTCAATATGATTATGCACATGCTAGCTCAGTCATTCCAACTTGCTGGCTGTAGTTTTACCTAAATGCAAATTAGGAATCCTAGTATATGGATTCTAAGAAGTCATGCTGGCCCTTACTGGGACATAGGCAGATACATATATAAACATTCCTAAAATGGACAGCTAGTCTATGCCAGTATCTATTCAAAGATGATTGTGTAGATTTTAGAGACATCAAGGAAGTCTGGTGAGACAAAGAGTATATACCTGCCTGAAAAATAAAGAGGGTAAGCATATATCATGTTGTAATTAGAGATTCTGTAAAAAAAAGTACTGGTTTTTATTTTGTTTGCATGCACAGTTTAAAAGTAAACTTTATTCATATTTTAATGCCTAAGACTGTCTTCACTGATCAAACTAGTCAGCTGAGCAGGGAATATCATCACAGTGAATGAATGAGAAATAAATAGCTCATGCTTGTCCTGCCAAGAAGAACAAAATTGTGTAAGTGTACCTTATTGCAGATTGAATTAGCATATGTTTTGACCCTGACACTTTTATAAAAAAATCTTAGGAGAAATGAAATCATACAATGATTGAACAACTTCCAATTAATTAAAAGGTAGTCATTAATCAGTGTTGCTATAGCTGGAAGTTCAAATAATTTTATTAGACTCCTAATAATTCTTTTGTGCTTTACTGCTTTGTTGTTTTTATGATATCAGCCTTGAGAATTTTAAGAGACTAATGCTCCAAAAATTTACTTCATTCAAATGATCAGAAAGTTTCAACCGGCAAATGTTTCTAATTTTTTGTGTTTTTGGTGTTACTATAACAAGTGCCATTAGTTAAAGATAACTAAAAATAAAGTAACAAAATACCTAGAATATATTTTGTATAATTAAAAAATAAACAGTTGATACTAGAGACTATTCTTCTTTTTTTGGTCATTGTGAAATAAGTAAAAAAATAAGTGAATTACCTAACAAAATGCTATATTTGGAAAAATTTTATATACAAGTGTACCATTATGAGTTGAGATTAAATTGTTGGATAATTACTTTTTAAGGTTATCATCAATATAGACGTATTTTAAGGTATAATTTTTTTGTTGTTGTTTACATAGAGTAGGTGATATCATTCTCTATGTACAGAAAAATCAAGCATCGAGGTTGGTATCTATAATTTAGACTAAGCAAAAATTCATGCATTTGTTTTTATAATGTGTATAGAGTACCATCTATGTGCAAAACACTATTTTTTGAGAGTTACGAGAAAACATAGAAAGATGGTATCTGTTCTCAAGCATATTGCAGTTTAGGAGTAGTAAGAAATTGACAGAAATAGTGAATTTTAGTAAGTTATAACTATGCAAATTATGTTGAATTCTAGGGAATTTAGACTTAAGTGAACTCTCACATAAACTTCATGGGTAGTTTGCAAAAGGTTATGACTCACCCTAGTGTGGTCATTACGTGATAAAGGATTTAAACAAAAAAATAAATAAATTTTGTGGCAGATTTTTCTGGTATTTCTTTGTCTGTATGCCAGACAAATAGCCATGAAATAATTTTCTCAGACTAAATGAAAAGTGAGTACCTAGTTTTTCTAAAATAATGATAAATATTAATAGAACAAACTAGTAAACTATTCTAATAGCTTCTTACACATCAACTCATTTGGTCCTCTCAGTGATCCTACAAAGTGAGGACTATTGTCCACAGTGGAGGGATGAGGGAATGGATACTCAGAGATATTTTGGTCACAGCCCAGTGTCACTCAGCTAATGATGACCAGGCTAGAACTGGAACCCAGGACTCCTGCACTCCAATACACATTCTGTGGATTGGTTGACGATATAGTTCCACAGGGACACATATTCACTTGCCTATGCTTCGTTCATTTATTTTAAATAAGTTAGTGGCAGTTGGAGGGTTAGAAAGAT